TTGTTAATGCAGACTAGATGATGCCTTGCAATATGTGTCTGTGTCTGTTTGGTGTTTGAACATCTTAGCACCTCTTGTGTTATTGCCGGACAGGGTAAAGCCGATTCTCTTTTTTTTTTCTTCTTCATAATTTCATGCCGTCAAAAAAAGTAAATGATCCCATAGATGGACTTCCATGAACATCATGCATGATGCATGGAATCTCTTTTGCAATGAATTCAGGACGCTTTAAAGATTGCAGATTGCTTCTTTTTTTAACGTACACACATCTAATTGAAAACGTTCACATTCAGTGCATTTTCTCTCCATTCTTAAATGTCATCGGACAAGCAAGAAGGATAAATATATTAATGACAATAGATAACATATGAAGCTCAACGAATACAACATTTTTATGTTTAATAACAGTATGAAAGTAAATTAAATAACACCTATGTGTCCTCACTTTTGGGCCACCCTGAATAATAACCCTACATGTGTCCTGACTTTTGGGCCACCCTGCAAAGCGACCCTATATGTCCGGACTTTTGGGCCACCCTGTGTAATAACAACCCTATATGTCCTGACTTTTGGGACACCCTGTATAACAACCCTATATGTCCTGACTTTTGGGACACCCTGTATAACAACCCTATGTGTCCTGACTTTTGGGCCACCCTGTATAACAACCCTATGTGTCCTGACTTTTGGGACACCCTGTATAACAACCCTATGTGTCCTGACTTTTGGGCCACCCTGTATAACAACCCTATGTGTCCTGACTTTTGGGACACCCTGTATAACAACCCTATGTGTCCTGACTTTTGGGCCACCCTGTATAACAACCCTATGTGTCCTGACTTTTGGGCCACCCCGTAGACACGCCTCTAGCGCCCTCTCGTGCTCAAAAATGAATAAGCAGACAATGGACCGACTCCACAGACCGTGTCCAGGGTTTTCCAAACTCAAATCCTCGCCGCCACCCCACCACCACCAACCACCACCACCAACCACCACCACCAACCACCACCACCAACCACCACCACCAACCACCACCACCAACCACCACCACCAACCACCACCACCAACCACCACCACCACCACCACCACCACCCCCCACCACCAACCACCACCACCAACCACCACCAACAACCCCCACCACCAAACACCACCACCAACCACCACCACCACCCCCCACCACCACCCACCACCACCACCAACCTCCACCACCAACCACCACCACCAACCACCACCACCAACCACCACCACCAACCACCACCACCAACCACCACCACCAACCACCACCACCAACCCCCACCACCAACCACCACACCACCAACCCCACCACCAACCACCACCACCAACCACCACCACCAACCACCACCACCAACCACCACCACCACCACCAACCACCACCACCAACCACCACCACCAACCACCCCACACCACCACCACCAACCACCACCACCAACCACCACCACACCACCACCACCACCACCACCAACCACCACCACCAACCACCACCACCAACCACCACCACCAACCACCACCACCAACCACCACCACCAACCACCACCACCAACCACCACCACCAACCACCCACCACCAACCACCACCACCAACCACCACCACCAACCCACCACCACCAACCACCACCACCAACCACCACCACCAACCACCACCACCAACCACCACCACCAACCACACCACCAACCACCACCACCAACCACCACCACCAACCACCACCACCACCACCACCACCCACCACCACCACCAACACACCACCACCAACCACCACCACCAACCACCACCACCAACCACCACCACCAACCACCACCACCAACACACCACCACACCAACACCACCACCAACCACCACCACCAACCACCACCACTACCAACAACAACCACCACCAACAACCACCACCACAACCACTACCAACAACCACCACCCACCACCACCATTACCAACCACCACAACCACCACCACCAACCACCACAATTACTAACCACCACTACCAACCACCACCACAACCACCACTACCAACAACCACCACCACCACCAACCACCACCCCCCACCACCCCCACCAACCACCACCACACACCACCACCAACAACACCCATCACCACAAACCACCACCACCAACCACCAACCACCACCAACCACCACCACCCACCACCACCACCAACCCCCACCAACACCCCCCACCAACCCCCACCACCAACCACCACACCAACCACCACCACCAACCACCACCACGCTCCGTCTTTCCCGGTTAACAATTTGCTCCCCCCACCCGTTGCACACTGCCCGCGCCCGATGACTGACTTACGCGTCCCACGTGACGCTCTAAGCAACACTGACGCAGTCTGCGTCACGCGCTGCACGTGCACACGCACACACGTGTTCTACGTGTACAACACGCACGTGTGTCTCACGTGTGCACGCGCACGTGTGGTCCCACGTGTGTCCCACGTGCGCACACACACGGCCACATTTTCCACGTGCACAACACGCCCGCGTGGAACACGTTGTACACAAGCACGGGCACACAGATCTCGAATCTAAACGCGATTCGGCTCTCCATTTCACGCATACAGTCAATTGCTTCGCGCGTCACGGTGGGATGCGGTTAACAATCATCGGGCGCGAGCAGCGTGGGACGAGTTAATTGGTATTTAAATGGGGGGGGGGGGGGGGGAAGGAGTAATTGGTGGTAGTGGTGGTGAGGGGGCCGTGAGGACTGGAGTCGGAAAACCCTACACACATCATCAGTGTCACGACCTTCTTCCATCCAGCAGTGGATACATCAGAGCTGACGATGATGACGATGATGACGATGATGGACGATGATGATAACGATGATGGCATCGATCGTTCTCATTATACACGAGCCATGACAAATTGAAACATCACGAGTGGACTCCTGGCTCAGGCGAAATTGTGCAGCGATGTTGAACGTCTCAGAGCGGCGTTCTTCATTGCAAGGCCACGGGGGCCACTGCCCCCCCCCCGGTGGCCTTTAGTGCGGCCCCATGACGTGTGGCCAACCCGACACAAAACACAAATGGTGACACCCCCCATCATCATCACCATCATCACCATCATCACCATCATCACCATCATCATCACCATCATCGTCACCATCATCATCACCATCATCGTCACCATCATCATCACCATCATCGTCACCATCATCATCATCACCATCATCATCACCATCATCGTCACCATCATCATCACCATCATCATCATCACCATCATCACCATCATTATCACCATCATCATCACCATCATCACCATCATCATCACCATCATCGTCACCATCATCACCATCATCGTCACCATCATCATCACCATCATCACCATCATCACCATCATCATCACCATCATCGTCACCATCATCATCACCCTCATCATCACCATCATCGTCACCATCATCACCATCAATCATCACCATCATCACCATCATCACCATTCATCATTCACCATCATCGTCACCATCATCATCACCATCATCATCATCATCGTCACCATCATCATCACCATCATCGTCACCGTGTTGCTGCTGTCAAACCTAGCCATGGTTTAAAAATGTGTAGCGGCCTTCACACCACTATTGATGATGTCTTATCGCCCAAAGTGCCCCTCCCTCCCCTCTCCACCAGCCCTGGGAAATAAGTAAAGAACTTTGGTGTAGAGGGGTGGGGGGGCACTGAGATAGCGAGCTCTGTTTCAATGGAGGGGGAAGGTGGTGGTATTGGAATGGGGGGGGGGAATGTTGGCGGCCCTCACGCTACCAATGATGTCTTATCGGCGAAGTAGTCGTCCCCTCTCCCCCCCCCCCCCCCCCCCCCCCCCCCCTCTGAAAATTAGTGAAGGACACTGTCCTAGACGGGAGAAAACAGAGTGAGGGAAAGTGACATGACGCTGCCGCTGGTGTGTTTGCAGTTCGGGGAATTGAGCTCAATTACCGTATGAGCAATTACTGGGCTTGTACAACCAATTCATGAATGTTCCTATATGGATAATTAATGTATGAGTCTCTGTAGGTAATTGATGAGGCTGGTATGGTTACAATACGGCAGGGAGGGGGAATTTGAATACAGAGTCATTTTAATGTTACACGAGTATCTAGTGGGATTCAGACTCAGTCTAGAGTGGGATTCAGACTCAGTCTAGAGTGGGACAGTTTATCTGAACCGGTCGTGGGCTTCCCCGTGGTCGACTCAGCCTCAAAATGAGTACCTGGTGCGGTGTGTGTAAATATCGCCACTGGGGATACAAAGGCGGTCGGGCGTGGTGTGCTAGCTACATCACCCCCTCGTGTGCCATTCCAGACTTCATAGATGCTGATACAGGCTAACAGCACTTTCCCCAAACGTCTGTTGAAGGCTAAACGGTGACGAGATATTAACAACCTCGCCTGGTGTACATGAGGGCGTGGGTTCCGATCCTGACCCTGACCGATGCCTGTACAATTTGGAGTTGGCGTCTCTCTCTCTCCCCGTGATCGCGTGAATTTATTTCTCCGAATCCTCCGGTTTTTTTTTCCTCCACATTCAGAAACATGTGTTTAGAGAATTTTGCCTGTTATGAACTTACACATAAAACCAACTTCGTTAGAGCTATCATTTGTGGCCAGGTCGGTCTGAAAAAGAGCTGTAAAGCTCAGTGGACCTCACCTGGTGAATAAAAATATATATATTTAAGTTTTTTAAACTTTTTCAAGAAGCAAGAGAGATAATAAAACAATAATAATAATAATTGTGATGACTACTGCCCTTTGTCATTCGATCGCTGGATGAAGGCCTTCTCACACTGCGGTCAAGTGGGGGAGAGGGTGGGGGGGAGGGAGGAGCGGGGGGGGGGTGTTTTGACCATACTTCACCTGCTGGTCACTACGGCTTGCGGAAGAGGGAGCACCCGTGACTGGTAACTCACCTTGTACAAAACCCTGATTTAAAAAAAGTAAGTTCAATAGTGAGTTAGTTGACCGCTTGTGTGTGTGTCTCCCTAGGCCCGGGATCAGTGCGTGATGACAACAATGGTGGCAGTGCGAAGGCCGTGGCGAGCCCGTGGCTTCTCCTCCACGCGACGTTCCTCCTGCTCATCCTCGCCCAGACGATCTCCTGCAACTAAAATGAAACGGCTCCACCAATCAAACGGGGATAATGTCATCACCATCGACAACAAACATCAAACAACAAACTTCAACAACGCATTTGGCAACTACTACAACAGCAACGACTACGATGACAATATTCACAACGATAAGAATAATGACAACAATAAAGAATATCAATAATGCAATGGTAACAAAAACATCACATCATAATGTAGCCTATTCATATGAATGATTATACATCGTTGATCGTAAGACCTCATCTATTATCCAGGGCTTAATTTGCTCACGGAAGAGTTTTCCCAGGTTGTCCCTCTTGTAAGCGCGGTGTGGACTACCACTGCTCCTACTAACCAGTGCTAACCAGCCGATGGTGGCAGGTGCATGTATACTGGCTGTGGTGTGCCGGAATGTGTTGGCAAGAAAAATGTGTTTGCCCTGTTCGCCCACCTGGGGTTGAAAAGGAAGCCCCCTTTTGCCCGCAGTCATCGCTTGAGATGCATTGGCCGACATCAAAACGCAATCTCTGTAAAATTTCCCCCACTGATTTATCAATTTTTTTTGTTCGTTTTGTTTATCACACCGTGATTCTCAACGTTTGACGAATGTTCGGGATATTCATCAGATACTCGGCGACAACGTACATCATGCTGATGCCATCACCACCATCGCTAGCCCATCATCAGCAGCAGCAGCAACAACAGCCGTGATGTAAACGGCTGCAGGTGATGTGATGTGTAGAGTACTTGGAGCAATATGGAGTTCTGTTCCCTGTAGCTTAAAATACTTTGTAGTGGGTAGATTTTTGTTTTCAATTACAGGAGACCTACCAATTATTCCGATTGCATTGCGGTTGATTTAATACTTGTTTTCTTTTGTTGAAATAATCTTTAAGGCTACGCTTTCGCAGAACAATGACAACAAGAGACGGATAGCACGTTTTTTAATGTTGCAGTTCACGATTAGGGTTTTTTTTCGCATTCTTCAACAATAATCAACACAATAATAATTACATAAGTAATATTGTATTAGTAGTAGTAGTAATACTGACAATTAATAATTACAGTAGTAGCAGTAGTAATAATAATGTGAAGATTATTATTTAGCAGGAATGAGAGTCTGAACGGTCATGAAATCAACGCAAGGGCCGATTAACACGTGCAGCTGTACATGTCAGTTTTAGAGGTCACAGCTGTACACGTCACATCTGTTCACGTCACAACTGCCTATTGTTCAGGCCACGTGTTTCCGGGCTGCCATTATGACGTTGAGACTTTGCCAATCGTGATTGGGGGAGGGGTAGAGGGGGTGGAAAGACTTCAAAGTTACTTAAATAATGTTGGTACGTATGTTCTACACAACGATGCGCATTATTCTTACGTGTTTTGTATTATACTGCAGGTTTCCCTCGCTTTACACGATAGTAGGATATGTGATTAAACAAAGGACGCACAAAGCGAAACCGCACGATGAGACAGCTGCCTGCCGAGTGCACATACCGTACACACACAGTGTCGTATCTCGGTTTGTATCTGTGTATACGTATTTCTCTGTGGGTATCTGTGTGTGTGTGTGTGGGACAGTGGGGAGCGGTAGTGTAGCGGTTAGCGCGCTGCGCTATTAACCCGGAGGCCCGAGATTGATTCAAGTTCACGGCCACCACCAGTGATTATTATCTGAACCGGGTCATGGGCCTCAACTAGGTTTACTCAGCCTCAAATTAGTACCTGAAGCCGTGTGTAAAGTCGGTCGGGCATGGTTATGCAACGTACCGGTCTTCATAGGTGCAGTTTCGCACAACAGCAGTCCCAAAAGTCTGTTAAGGCCATAGGGGGTATATTTGTCTTTGTGAGTCCGCTGCCTGCCGAGTAGTGCACACGCTGACGCACAATAAATATGACCCCACGTTCAACCGCATAGCCGCACTGTGAATTAATTCAACCCGCATATAGCGAATTTTGGGTAGAAACAGGCGAGCCGTATAGACGTGAAATCCCACAATCCGAATACCCCGCAGAGAGCGAGGGAAACCTGCGCCCGGGTGCGAATCGAACTGGGACCCCGATATCGAAGAGAGAGAGAGGGGGAAGTCGTCTTTTTCCCATTACAAACATCGGGGAGATCAAGCGGCGTTGATTCGTGCGAGGCTGACTACCGCTGATGAGACACTGAATGTTGAAAACCGATTATTTTGCAATCAACACGCTACCGAAGTAGAGCACTCCCAGGTAGGCCCCGAACCTTGCGGCTGATGGGATGCGTATAATTGATTGTTTTTAGCGTTCGTGTGAATGGACATATCAGATGCGTGGAGAAGGCGTGTAATGTCCGCTTATTGTTGTTGTTACCGAAGTCTTTTTTTTAAGTAACCTTAAAGCCTTTTGGGGGGCGGGGGGGGGGGGTTCAGCTGCGTTTTAATTTCAACCGCAACACGTGCTCACTAAAACGCAGTCACCCCTTTCAACCCCCACGTAACCTTTTATAAAGTTTGCATTCGTGCAATGAGGAAGTAAAATCACGTATTTTTTTGTTCATTATAACAATAATAACATTATTTTATCAGTCCACCGCTAAGTGGAAGTCGTTCCACCCCCCTCTCCCCACGTCCCTGAGCGCCCGTCGCCTGGTGGGGGGGAGGGTGGGGGGGGGGGTTGTTTGACCATACTTCGCCACGCCGGTCGGTGCGGGAAGCTGAAGCGGCAATGTCACAAGGGTCCACGACCGCGTGCCAGAATGCCGCTCGCCACTGATGTGAGCCGCGGCTGGGAATCGTAGGGATCTGCCGCACCTCGCAGCGTCTCACGGCGCTGCGAGGAGTCGGAGTGCTGGCCAAGGAGATGGCATTGCAGCAAGTTGGGGGGGGGATCGTGAACCCGTCCATGTTGAAGAGAAGGAGATAGAGAGAGAGACATATCCACGGTCCGAGTGGATGGCTTTCCCCACCGTCTGCAGTTCCCCCATCAGAAATGCGAACTCGAAATTCGTTCGAATTGGCCAACCACAGTAGTTCCTTGTCTCTCATCATGCGCACGATTTATCGTCACCATCGTTGTGCTCGCGTCATATTTGAAATGGTGAAGTAATTTCACTGGACACGGCCAGTGCTAGGCGTAAGTGTCTGTGCGCGTGTGTAATGTTGGGTCAGACATCACGTGACCCACTGGTCTTTCCGAGAATAAATACACAGCCCAAATCCCCCCCCCCCCCTGCCCACACGTCCACCCTGTCCTTCCCCCCAAAAAACTGATAATATATCATTACAGCTTCGTTCAGGATTCAGAGAACAAATATGACAGTTGACGGTGTCAGAAGAACAACCCACTGTCTCCACCTTGTGTGTTTAAAGTGGTATGTTTAGTCCATGGGGAGCGGTGGCGCAGTGGTTAGCGCCGCACTGCGCCACGCGAATCCGCCCACCCGAGTTCTGTGCTAGCCACACCACTCGCGGCGTTCTTCATAGATGCTGCACGCTAACAGCAATTGCCCCAACAGTCTGTTGAGGCAATACGGGGGGCGGTGGGGGATCTTTGTCTTTTTTCTTCAACTAGTCAATGATTCGCGAGCAGGAATCGGTACCACCTAAAGGCGGTAAACAAATGTATGGTACCGATTTATTTACAAGAACGATAATAAAAGGCGTTATTAACCAGGTAAAGCCCACTCCGCCATTGGCTCTTGTTCAGAGGCGACCTGGCCCTCACGTGATGATGTCTCATCATCGTAGTGGCTGCTATCATCATCATCATCACCACCATCACGTGTGGGAATCTTGAGTCGCAGCCATTTAATCTAAACAACGCGTGTTGACTCTAACCATGGAGAAGGAGGGCAACACACAAGGGACCCGGAGACAAATCCACGCGACCACCACGAGAAGAGAGAGAGAGAGCGAGAGACCACGCGGACTCCCATATATAAAAACAGGCATCGCCAGGGTCCGGAATCGAACCCATCTCGCCACCGCCGCCGCGTCCCATTGAGAGTGAATAACCTGACAATCCACACTCATTGCAAGCGATTGTCACGCAATTCCTCCAGAATAGCTAAAGATGACGAGTCTGACAATTCGCTGATCTTGGGCCAAGTGACGACTTTGACAGCGGCCAAAGAGCCATGCCACCTCGGGTGGTACCCAGGAAGTCAAATATCGTATCAAGGGACTCGATGGGAAGGAAGACTGAACGAGTGTTTATTATATTTTTGGGGGTGGGGGGGGGCACGATTGAGAATTCGCACAGAGGGAGTAACAGCGTGGTGGGACTGCGGGGTGCTACCTCCTCTAGATGCCACAGCGAAGGGGGGGGGGGATGATGACGGCACGAGGTTGAGACGTTTAACGCCAGTGGGTGAAGGTTGTAGAAGCGAGTCCAAAGTCGGATGACCGCAGAAATGTTACGAATAACAACGTTACCTTCGGTGGTGGTGGTGGTGGTGTTGATGCGGCTGCTGAGTTGTCCGTGGTGCACAAACAACAACATTCCAACGCATTCGTCAATAATAACGCTGTGGCTTATTAAAATAACATGTCTCATGGCGAAGTTACGGCAATGGCCCTCTTTATGTGCTATGACGAAGTGTCATTGCCCGAAACGTCTACTATTTATTTTAATTTCAAAGCCACACACTGTGTCTTGACGAACGTACCGGGGTGGTATTCACCTTCCTCTATACAACACATGCCTCATTCTGAGTTCAAACACGAAACTATTCGTTGCACGCCCGCCACACTAGCCTGATGATTGGTAAACGCGCCTTCACGCGGCGGCGGCGAACAGAGCGCCGTGTCGAAGACAGGCGAGTCCCTGTGACGTGGGGAGCGGTGGTGCAGCGGTTAGCGCTCCACTGCGCTACGAACCCCGCGACCCGAGATCGATTCCCGCTCGCGGCCATCAACGCCGGTGACGATTACCTGAACCGGTCCTGGGCCTTCCCTAGGTCTACTCAGCCTCAAATTAATACCTGCTGCGGTGTGTAAACATCGCCACTAGGGAGACAAAAGCGGCGGGGCGTGGTGCTGGCCACCCACCCCCTCGTGTGCCGTGTTTGGCCTTCATAGGTGCGACTCGCTCACAGCACTTGCCTCAACAGTCTATCGGAGGCTATACGGAGGGGAGGGATCTTTGTCTTTGTTTGGCATGGGAAGCGGTCGTGTCGTGGTTAGCCCACTTCGCTATGAATCCGAAGATCCGAGCGCGATTCTCACGTCACGACCGATATTCAGTGCCGAATGTCTGAACCGGTCCTCGGCATCCCCTAGGTCGACTCAGCCTTAGACGAGAAGCTTTGTGCGGTATGCAAACGTCAGCACTGGGGAGACAAAGGCGGCCGGGCGTTGTGTTGACCACCGAGTCCCTCGCGGGCCGTGCCGGCCTTCATAGGTGCTCGCTAACAACACTTGTCCCAAACACTCCCGTGAGGCTGAACGGGGAATCTTTGCCTTTGCACGCGTGTGTACCACGTGACGCGGCTCGAGACGCGTTTACAGATCATCGGGCAAGTGCAGCGCGTAACGGGACTCAGCTGCCGTTGGAAACGATGCTTCTGGAGACGTTGAAAATGTAAGCATTGAAACGTTGTCCCAACGTTCAGCTGAACGTTGGGCCAACGTTGGCGTGTTCACTGCGCGGCTCGTAAAGGCGAAGTGGAACAACAACATCAACAACAAACATGAGCAGGCGCAGTGGATCCGTCAACAAACGGCTTTTTAGCTTCTGATGCTTCCCTGAACGGTTGTCCATTCATTGTCAGTGACGATGAGTATGCAAAAGGCAACAACAACAACAACAACAAAATGTACATACGACGATTTGTACTTTGATTTGCACGTGTTTTAATTTGTTTAATCACTCCCACGTTTGATGTCTTCGACCTGTTGTGTACACGTGGTGGTCGGGGAGGGGTGTGGAGATTGTGTTGGCATTGCAGCGCGCTGCGATCAATTATCCCCGCGTGTTAGAAGCTCCGGCAAGAGATCCCGAGCTGTTGTGAAACCGGTCGCGAATTTGATGTTTTTCGCCCACGGAAAATCTCAACACCTATCTTATGTATCGCATCTGTGTGTCGGTCTATCAGTGGTTGTAGTGAATACATTATCAGGGGGGTTGCGGCAATCGGTAG